TCCCCGCGCCGTCGCCGGCACCGCCGCCGGCGCCGCCGCCGCCGCTGCTGCTTGCGCCGTCGCCGGCCCACTCGCGCAGCCGGCGAGGCAGCAGCCAGTCGCGCCAGCTGCGCGCCGACCCCGGCTGCGCGTCCCCCTCGTCGAACCCAGCAGCGGCCCCCTCGCGCCCGCCGGCGGCGGCCGCGTCCGCCTCCGCGTCCCGCTCGTTGTCCGAGCCGTCCGCCGCGCCAACGGCGTCGGCAGAGCCGCCGTCGGCCACCGCGGCGCCCGCAATGCGTCCGCGATGGAGGGACTCGAGCTCGGTGAGCAGACCCCAGCACAGGGCGTCCCCCGACTGCCGCCGCGCCGGCCGCGGCCGCACCCTGGGCCGCGACCCGCGCTGCTGCGCCGCGGGCGACGCGCCGCTGCCAAACACGAACATGCCGCCCGGCGCGTGCGGGGACGCGCGGTGGCCGCCGTCGCCGCCGGCGCCCGAGCTCGCGCCGTCCTCGCTGCCAGCGTCGCCGGCGCTGTCTGGCACGCCGGCGGCGCCGCCAGGTCCGGTCAGGCGCGCAGGGAGGGACTCCGAGCTCCCTCTGAAGCTCCCGCGCGCAGACTCGAACGCGCTCGCCGCACCGCAGCCGCCGGCAGACCCCGGCGACCCAGACCAATCGCTGCCGCCGCCATTGCCGCCGCCGTCGCCCCCGCCGCCGTCGGTGCCGTCGGTCGCGTTGCTCCCGCCGCTGCCGCTCGTCGCGGGGCGCGAGCCGCCCTCGCCGTCGCCGTCGCCCTCGGCGCCGCCGGCGAGCGGAAAGTTCTCGAGCGGCCGGTGGCCAGCCGGTGACGAGCCGGGCGGGAGCCGGAGCTCGTAATGGTGCGGCCCCGTGACGGCGGCGCCGCCGCCCTCCGAGAGGAAGCAGCGCAGGCAGACGCTGTGGCCCGGCGGCCCGCTGTATTTGTAGTACGCGCCGGCGACCTCCGCGGCGCACTTGCAGCACGCCAGATAGCGCGGCAGCGGCGGCAACACGGGCGCGGCCGGCGGCGGCGGCTGGGGCTGCTGCTGGCCCGCGGCCGCGGCCGCGGCCGCATCTGCGTCCGCGCCCGCGAGGGGCGGCTGCGCGTCCTCGCCCTGCTGCTGCTCCTGCTGCTCCTGCTGCTGCTCCGCGGCGAGCGGCGGCGGCGGCAGCATTGCCAGCGGCGGCGCCGGCGCGGGCGCCGGGGCCGCGACGGCGTGCGCCGGCGGCGGCAGCGGCGTGAGCCCCTCGTGCACCATGCCCACGTGCGCCAGGAACTCCCGTGACGACCCGAACTTGCGGCCCCCGCAGGCGGGGCACAGCCAGTAGCGCGCCGCGACGTTGCCGCTCTCGCGCAGCAACACCAGCCCCTCCATCAGCTCCTCCGCCGCCTCGCTACCGCCCTCGCGCCGAACCCCCTCAAGCAGGTCCCCTAGGGGCACCCGCAGCAGCGCCCGCCGCTCCTCGGGGCTGCAGCTGCGCCAGAACGACTCGACGTCCGTGTAGCGCTGGCGGCGGCTCCGCGCCTCGCCTTTCGGCGCGCCGGGCGCGCCGGCGCCGGCGCCGCCCTTCCCCTTGCCACCTTTCGTGCCGCGCGCCGACGCGGCGGGCGCCTTGCCGCCCTTCTTCGCCCCCTTGCCGCCCACTGCCGCCGCGCCGCCGGCGCCCCCGCCGGCGCCGGCGCCGCCCCAGTCCCAGGCCTTCTCGACGGACAACGAGAGGGCCGCAGTGCCGGCACCCCGCGCGTCCCCGTGCCCGCCAAACGCGCCCAAGCTCAGGCCCGAATCAGCGCCGCAGCCGCCGTTGGCGCTGCCGCCAGCAGCCGAGCCGGGTGGCTTGAGGAGCCGCAGCAGCTCCTGCACCGCCGCCTGGTGCAGCTGGTTGTTGAGTGGGTCCAGCTGCAGCGGCGCAAGCACCTCCGCCGCCGCGGCCTGCAGCATGCTCGGGCGGCAGGGGCGCGTCCAGCTGCGGTGGTGGGCGTGGGGGGCGAAGGTGTCATAGCCCGCAGGTCGCCGCCTTGTGCCTCGTGTCGGGCTCCCAGCAGCAGGCAGGCCAGATGGATGATGATAAGAGTGGGCTGCTGCCAGGCAGCTTTGCGTTTCGCGTTGGCGTGTTCAGCTGGTTTGATCCTGCTGGATCCCATGGCTTGCTGCTGCTGCTGCTGCTGCTGCTGCAGCTGCTGCTGCTGCTGCCGCTGCTGCCGCCGCTGCTCCAGCAGAAGCAGCTGATGCTGCCGCGGCAAGCCCCCACACCCGAGCGCATGGCAGACGCCACAACCCCCAAGGCTGCAGCGCCTCTCGGCCCGCGCTCACCTGAGTATGTGCTGCAGCAGCTTTATGTTGTTGTCCCGCGCCGCGGTGGTGGCGTCCAGCAGCGCGTGGCAGCTGTCGAGAACCTGCATCATCGAGCTCAGCACGCCGCGCTTCTCATCCAGCACCTCCTGCCAGCGCCCGCCTGCAACCCATTCCTCCATGTTCGACTGCGACTGCACGGCCACAGCCCAGGCGACGCGCGGGCGTAAGACGACAGCGCCGCCAAGTGCTTGAGTACGGCCCCGGCGCGGGGACAGCCGCGGCCCAAGGGGTGCGCTCATGTTTTCGGCATGGTAACCTCGCGGGCCTGTGCAGCACTGCAATGCATGAATTGCATCGGCCCCTCGCACCCCCCAGACCGGCGCGCGCTCACCATGCTGCACGGGTCGCTGGTGGCGTGGCCGCCGGTGTCGATAGAGATGACGGGCTCGCTGCGGCATGGCGCCGGGTGCGCCAGCGCCGTGCGGCACGCGGCCATCGCGCCCTCCAGCCGCTCCCGCAAGTCCCCGCACTTGCGCTCGACCACGGCGGCCGCCTTGGTGCCCTTCTTGCCCGCCGCGACCAGCCGCGCGCCGAGCGGCAGCAGCGCCGATTCCTCGAGCAGAAGGTTGATGGCGAGCGTCGCGCGCAGCGCCGCGCAGCTGCAGCTGGCGGGCGCGAGCGCGGTCGCGGCGGCCGCGTGCGCGTACGCCTCCTGCAGTAGCTGCGAGCGGCGCTGCGAGGCACCCGGGTCGGAGTCGCTGCTGCCCACAACGCCGGCGGCCTCGTGGTACAGGAGGCGCGCCTGCAGCGGGGCGCGAGGCGGGGGAGGCCCAGTTGATGCGCGTTGCGCGGGCGAGCTGGCGGCGTGGTGACACTGCAGGACAGCGCGGTCCTGCCGCCTGCAGCGCATGCAATGGTTTCGGCTTCGGCTCGATGCGGCAGCTGAGGGACCGCACAATTGAGGCTGCCCTGCAGCGCGACAGCTGGTGGGCCAATGCCCGGGTGCGCGAGGTGCCGCCGCCACCCACCAGGAATCGCAGCGGCAGCGCTGAAGACGGGTGCTCCTTTGCCAAGCTCTTCAGGGCCTTCTTGGCATTGGGCCTGCGATGTGAGGCCCGCCTTTGTGAGGAAGGGCGAAGGCTGCCGGGGTGTGCGCGGAGCTCGACGAGCACCCACGCACCGCTTGCCAGCCTGGTAATCATCCAAAATGGATAGACACTCCGCCAGGGCCTTGGCGTCCATCTCCTCGCCCTCCCTTGCCGTCAATTCATCAATGCTTGCACAGCACGCGTGTCAATGGCTGCATATCTTGTTTTCGTTGATTTTACTTCCATGCAAAAGATGTGTGGCGAGGGGAGCCTGTCCCTGACCAGCGGCGGGGGGGTCGGGAGAGAAAATGCGAGAGGCGGCAAAAAATGCGCAACCCGAGACCAATGTGCAAAGGTCGGGCGTGGCAATGCAAAGATATCATCAGTCAACGTACAGGTTATTAATCGGCCGTCCAAGGACCCACTCTGATCTGTAGATCCAGCGATTGACCCACCCCTGGCTGATAGACGTTGTACGTGCCAGCGGGGTGCCGAGGAAGGAGTTGTAGGATTGGTTCTTATAATATCTGCCCATCTGCTGCCCGTTGCCACCGCCGCAAGCCTTGCGCTGGGCACGCTCGCTCTGTGGCACGGCGGCGGTTGATCCACGTTGCAGCGTGTCCCTAGCAACGGCCATGAGCCACCAGCAAACGCCGCACAGGGCATGCATTTTGCGCATGCGTGGTCACGCTCTCATCGCGCTCGCGCCATTGGCCGCGGTGGCTCTTGCGATGGCTCTTGCGATGGCGGTGGTGCCAGTGGCGCATGCATGGTCGCTCAGCGACGTGGGCGCGGCGGTCGCCGGCAAGGCCAGGGCCGCCGCCGAGCAGGCCAAAGCGGCGGTGCAGGCTTCTGACCACCATGGCGCGCGGGAAGCGGCCGAGGCGTTCGCCTCAATAGTGGGTGGCAGCCACGACGACGCGTCTGGCGGAGCGGAGACGCGTGGCGCCGTTGCGGGCGCTGGGGCGAGCGCGAGCGAGAGCATCAACGCCGGCAGCTCAGCTAAGATTCGCACGCTCAGCTGGACGCCACGTGCAATGGTCTGGAGCAACTTCATCACGCAAGAAGGTGCGGGCGCTGCAACAACGCGCGGCAGCATCAGAAGCAGAGTCCTCACGTGGCAAGTTCCCACCTTGGAGGACTGGGGTTATCGTATGCAGGGAGTTCTGATTGGTGCCCAACCTGCTCCTGTTCGTATACATGAACACACACACACACACACACACACCCATGCGTGCACACATACACACACTTACACACACTTACACACACACACACTCCCTCTCTCTCTCTCTCTTGCTCTCGTACAATCTCACACGCAAACAACACACACACACACACACACACACACACACACACACACGCACACACACACTTTGTGCCATTCACCTCAGAGGCGGATCACGTCTTGGAACTTGGCGCGGCCCGGCTGGTCAGATCGGACGTCGTCGACACGCAGACGGGGGTGATCATCCGCAGCAAGGAGCGCACCAGCAGGTTGTGCCGTTAAAGAGGAGGAGGTCCCAGGAGGGGAAGGGGGGGTACCACAAGGCAGTGTGGAGGCGCGCGGCTTTTTGGGGGACTCGGAAGGGGGCAGTGACGCCCACAGGCAGCAGCTGGAGCTTCTTCTGCAGAGCAGCTGCGGCTTGCGGCGCGGCTTCAGTCGCCCATGTATGCGATGTTTGCCTGAGGGCTTGTCTGTTACCGGCACCCAGCACGCTCCTCTCTTGTGCTCCTGCAACCACTGATCCCGTGCGTCCTCGGCCAACAGCTTCCCGCCGATTGCGCCTGCTCCTGCTGCCAACCGCCAGTGGCGCGTTCCTGCCGGGCCGCAACCTGGACCCTGTCGTGCGCGAGCTGGAGGCACGCATAGCACGCTGGGTGCAGGTCAGTTGCGCAGGCGGAGTATGGGCGCGCCTCTGCTGCATAGCACACGTTGGTGGCCGTGCTGGGCGCAAAGTTGCCGCGTTGTCCAGATCGGATGACTCACTGATGCAACGCCACTGCACGCAGATTCCTGCAAACCATGGCGAGCCGTTCCACATCCTGCGCTACAACCCTGAGGAGGAATATGTGAGGCTGCCCTGAACGCCCACACCTGCCTGCCCAGCCCATGCTGACCTCTCTCGCCCTTGCTGATGTGGCTAACCCTGGCTTGTTGCACTCAGCCGGGCTTGCGGCGAGTTTGCATGCTGTTGCTGTGTCTCACTTCCCCATCGCTGCATCGTCTCTTCTCACAGACCGCCCACTTCGATATGTTTTTTGACGATGTGAGCTGCGGGGCTGCCCCTGGCTGCCATCCATGCTGACATGTCATGTTTGTGAAGCGGCCTGCTTGCGCGCATGCGTGCCTGCCTGATGGTGGGCTCAAGCCTGCTTGCCGGTCGGCAGGCATGCAGGCTGTTGGTGACGAGCTGCATCGTTTGTAGGCATGATGCATCCAACGCTGCGTGCAACCCACAGGTTCACGTGAAGAACGGCGGCCAGCGCATTGCGACGGTGATCCTGTGAGCCTACTGCTGCTGCTGTCGATCCCTGCATCCCTGTCCGCATCGAGGGGTTACCGCTGCTGTGCGGCGTCCCTCGGGCCCACTTGCCCCTGCATGAGAAGCGTCCTTGTTCGACGCCCCGGCGCCATTGACCGCCGGTTTGACCCCCCCTACCTCAAACGTGCGACCCAGTTACCTAAGCGACGTGGAGGAGGGTGGCGAGACGGTCTTCCCAGACTCCCCAACCAGGCCAAGCGAGGCGGAAGCCGCCTCGTTCAGCGGTGAACATCCCGGTTGGCCTGACCTCGCACGTGCTGCGTGCGCGACGTGACGCAGCGACTTCTTCAGAGGGACGGGGCCGCATGGGGGGCACGGCGTCTGCATGCGCGCTGACAGGATGCGCGCAATCATGACCCTCACGTCCCTCAAACGCGCGATCCCACGGCAGCCTGCGGCAAAAAGGGTCTCGGGGTGCGCCCAAAGAAGGGGGACGCGCTGCTCTTCTTCAGCCTGCGGCCGGACGGCAAGACGCAAGACAAGGCTGCGCTGCATGCGGGGTGCCCCGTGGTCAAGGGCACCAAATGGATCGCAACCAAGGTGCGGCTGGCAGGGCTGGATGGACGCACGCCTGCATGAAACGCATGTGCGGACACCAGAGGCTCAGTGCGCCGTGCGAAGCACGCGCTTGGCTTTGTTGCCTCAAGCCCTGGTCTGTATGGTCGCATGCATCCGCGGTTCGCCCTCGTGACCCCTCACACGCCGCAGTGGATTCGTGTCGGCCGGTACCACGATTGGGGGGACCCAGATGAGACGCCCGAGGACGCCAGAGCCACGGGACGGCAGGCGGCCGCAAGGCAGGGCTCTGACTCAGCGGCGGGGGCCAACGTGCCGGGCGATGCAGATGTGAACGCTGCGCGGGACGAGTTGTAGGGTGGCTGTTATTGGCAAGCCTGTTTGTGTAGGAGGGTGCAAAAGCTGATATGGGGGCCTGCATTTGAACTGCACAGGGAACTATGGGGGCTGCAGGCGCGCCGCTGCGGATCGTGGTTACGTTGCGGGCTGTACAAGACATTGCTTGTGCAATTTTTCCTTGTTTCAGCGAAGGGAGGCAAATCAAAGGTGATGTGTCTACAAAGCCCTCAAATACTGCGTGACAGCTTGCTCTTTTGGTCCAAGGCAGTATGCTGCAGAATGCCGTCCAGCACTGCCATGCTTACCTCTATTCCTTGCGCGTCCCGTGACAGTTTGGCCTTGTCCCCGTTTAATCTGGCATTGTTGCAGCTCGCTGTAAACATATGCAACAGCCAATTGTGGCACTCACTGCTGCTGCTGCTGCTGCTGCTGCTGAGGCCAACTGGACTTCACAGCTGAACTGCCTACCAAGGACACTGCTGGCAAGCAAGGTCAGGACGACATGCAGCCTGCCTTGCCATAATTTGTCGCAACAAAGTATGGGATGGCAAGCTGCATATTTTCATGGCCCGTTCATCCGATACAATTGCGTACAATTTACAAGTCAATGATCAAGACTCCATCTCAACCGCTCGCCATCCTTAAGCCATTACCAACACGTAACATGCCCCTGTGGGGGCTGCAGCAGAGAGTGCAGGTCCGCGCGGTGGGTCACGTGCATGCTGGGCGGCAGCCTCAGTGGTGGTGGGCTTTGTTTTCGCCCTCCGCAAGCTGCCGCCGCCTTTCCGCCTCGATTGTCAGCTTGCGCTCGTACTGCGAACGCAGGCGTTGCAGCGTCGGTGGGACGCATCGGTCTCATGCCAAGACCAGCCTTACGCCCACCTGGGCAACCGTCCAGTTCGAAGAGCAATGTGCCCTCCTCTCAAGAGCGACCGCCTGGCTGCAAGCTGCCCTGCTGCCGTCGGACCCTTGAGGATGCCCCCGAGCTTAGCCAGGCAAGGTTGCGGCGTTCCCGGCTTGCTGTTGCGATGCAGGATGCTGCCGCCGCGTCCGCCACTGCTCTGCAACCACTCACGTATTTCCTGTGGTGCAGGCACTCCAAGTAGTCATCCGCGAACGGCTTGCACTTCGGTGGGTCATCCGATCCCTCCTCCTGGATGCACTGCAAGCGGGCGAGCAACGGCGGCACGGGCGGTGCAAGAAGGTCGGCACCTGCCCGACCTCGATAGACGCAAGCACACAACAGCTGCGCCGCAATCCAGGTGCGTAGCATTGTGCATGCATCCCCAGCCTCTTGCCTTGACGAAATCCATCCAAAAATGGTAGCACCTGTGATGCAGAAGCGGCGCCCGAGGCGCGGGCAGCGTGAATGCGTGCGAATGCAGTAGCAGCAGCAAGCGGCGATTTGCCCACTGCCCGTGCCACATCTGAGAGCTCACCTGGACGGGCCCCCATGAATCCCCATGAACACCATGCTTGCTGCGGTTTCGCCTGTGCCCCGCTGCTAAATCGTGGGGCTGTGCAAGATCTGCACCGGGGCCGTGTCCCCTGAACTACTTCTGATTTTAAAACACTGTACAATAAGATGAGTTGCAGGCCACCTGCCGGCCCTGGCTCAAGCGTTCGTTCTGCGGGATCTGGTCGGGGCAGCAGGCGTGCTAAAATGCAAATGAATGTCGACAAAAATTGCGCGCTGCTCTGCGTTGCGGGTGTCACTGAATCTGCACACCACCGCTTGTCTGGGCGACGTGTCTGGGTGACATGTCTGGGTGACGCCTTGGAGACGAGCTATCAATTTGATCGGTATCGTGGTGCTGATGCCTCACATACAAGGGTAGCTAGAGTATGCCACGGCCCCCACAGCAGATACTTGGCCTTCCAGTTGACTGCGTGACGGGCCGCCGCTGTGAAGGGCTGCTGTACCTGGGTACAGCACAATTCATGCGCTGCGGCCTCACAGAGCGCTGGAATGCCCCACGTTATTTTCACCCATGTTGTTGCAGTGCACTCAAGACAAACATCTCAGATAGCAATTCAAAGGTGCAACCTGCAACGTGTTGGCGCCATACGGGGGCCGCAAAGCGAAATCCATATCAAATGTGGCATCAGTCTACCCGTCCCGCAGCGCCGGCCAGAACCCTTGCGGCAGCTGTTTGACAGCTGTTTGTTTTTTGCACCCCTACCAGGTGCGTATTCAAAAAATTAAGCCGAACAAAGGCAGTTTTTCCTGCAATCGAGCCAAGTGATCCCAGATCGCAGCGTCACGGTGCCTCGGTCCAGCGCTGCCTGAGCCTGGTGCCAGGAGTGCTTTAAAAAGTGAGCTCTGTCATCCTAGACAGCATCGTACCTGTCATGCCCATTTTCACGGCAGTTCCTGCTGCCTCGGGACCCGCAGCGGACTGCAGTCTCTCGGACCGGCCGGTCAAAGCTGCTCGACTTCTTGCACTTGGGCGAGTTAGAGCACGCGCGGCAGCTTATAAAATCGAGCAGCCGCTTTAGTGAACAATTTCTAAGATCTGTCAACCTCAATTCCACACATCAACGCAATGGCTCGCGCGTCTCGCGTCCTGACTCTCGCCGTGACTTTGGCCTTTGCGGCCTTCGCCCTAGCTGCCGACCAAGATTGTCCAACCAAGCCAAGCGAGACTCCTCTGGAGTTCGCACCAGTGGCAAAGGCCTGCGGTAAGCAGTCGTTGCGAACAGGCGTCGGGAATTCCGAGACAAAGGCGTTGGTTTTGATCGTGCTTTTCAACAGTGCGATACATAGATAGCAGCCTATTTGGTGGGCGCTGTGAACGAAAAAACTATCGGTCCCAAGAACCCATACAGCCCAGCATCGCATGATGCCACACCAATGAACCAAACTCTGTGCTGCCCCCACAGGTGCTGACCAAGGCGACAAATTCTGCAGCTCGTGCGTGTGCTCCCTGGTGGACACCTACATGCCGGCCTTCATTGCCGCCAACTTGACGGCCACCGCCACTGAATTTCCTGTTGAAAAGGCGGCCGGCATCATCACAGCTTGCACCACCACGTACTACCCCAGGTGCGATCTTCTCATGGGCCAACTGAGCCTTGAGCTTGACAACGCTTGCAACTTGCGCCCATGTGGTTGCAACGGCCTTGTGCAGGTAATCCCTGCATTGACCCCTGTGCTGATCCTTGACTCAGCAGCCCCGCTCCATCCACATCACGCAGCCTTGAGGCAGCCAAAGTGAACGTCACCCAGGTGGCGGCCCTTGGCAATTGTGATTTCAGCACCGAGGTGTCGCTGCCCACGTGCCTTGTTGAGCGTGTCGCCAAGCTTGCGGCCCCAGCTGCCACCGCTTCCCAGGGGCCTGATGCAGGCAAGAATGTGGGATAGTTGGTCGTCGCGCCCTGCGGCGTGCGGTGTCCATGCATGGGGCGCATTGCTTTCCCAGGGAGTGCAAGCACACGCACGCTGATCAGACGGCACCACAAAGGGCAAGGCGCATTGCGCTGTGCATCTGATGGGTGTACATTACGATTGTTGGTCGGTCTGCAACTATCTTCCCATCACGACCAGAGACCCCTCTTGTCTGGTGTGTGCCTTCCATCCTGCAGCTGCTGCGCCCGCGCTGCGAGTCGCCACCGTCGCCGCCGGCCCGAACGGCCCGAGCGTCACGCTGGCCGGCCAGCTCAACAGTGTGGCAGACCTGGCCGCCGCCATGGCTGCCTCCAAGGAGCTGCTGGCTGCACTGAGCCCCGAGCAGGTGACTCACGCGCAAAGAAAAACCCATTGAATTTTTCACACCTCCACAACCTCTGCTGCACCGCTGCTGGGCCCATTACCACCCGCCCATACTGCTGAACGCATGTGCTTCAGGGTGGAAGCTGAGCAGCCCGCGCAGCGCAGCGTGCCAGCATCGCACGAGTGGGTACCAAGCCGACCCTGACTTGTTCGTTGCCCGTGGCCGTGTTACTGTCACCTGAACGTGCCCTCTTTCTGCCGTATGTGCATGCCTGCCCTGACACAGGCGGCTGCCCTCAAGGCCCTTGACCCCGCCAAAGTGACCGCCTCCCCTGAGCTCGTCGAGTACATTGGTGAGTACTGGCGGGCTGCTGCAACTTGACACTGGACAAGATGACAACACGCGGACGGCCAAAACTGTGTCAGCAGCAGATTGCAGAATTGTCTGCATGCTTGCAAAAGGCATCTGCACATGTGCCTGGCTGGCCTATTCTGCCATCTGCACCCGACCTGCGCTGTGCCAACACTCACCAACATCGTCACACCACCAACCCCCCTGCCGCTGCGCAATCAATCAGTCAGTTTGTTTAGGAAGAGGGGGCGCATTCTTGCCGGTCCCCATTTCTCCTGAAGTTACCGCTCTTCACCACTTGCAATCCTCTCTGCCCTTGCTCTTGCGCCTGCCCCTCCAGGGACCCTTGCCAACCCTGTTGATGCGGTCCCCCTGCTGGAGAAGCTGGTGGCTGCCGCCCCTGCCAAGACAGACGCAGATGGCGATGGCGATGCCCATGCCACAGCCGCCGACGAGCCCGCTGCCGCCCCCGCCGCCCCTGCTGCTGCCGCCGAGCCGGCCGCTGCGCCTGCCGCTGCACCAGCGCCGGCGGCGCCTGTGCCTGCGCCTGCGCCTGGGCCCGCGGCGGCGCACGCGGCGCCTGTCAGCGCTGCCGCCGGCGTTCGGGTGTCGGCCCTGGCTGCCGCGGCTGCCCTGCTTGCTGCGGTTGTGCTTTAAGGTGGCGGTGGCGACGTTGAGATAAATTCTGTCTGGTCAGAAAGGCCATGGCAAAGGGCTCTCCCTCACAACTTGGCTTAAGGCCTCGTCGCCTTCATCCAAGCCCAAAACATCGGGGTGCACGAGGGCCTCCGCATACGGCGGCACTCTGCGTGTGTCGCACTCTTACGCTTCGTGATCCTTCTCAGATCAAAACCAATGTGCCACATCACAGCAAGCCCCTCCCGCTTGCCACAGCCACACACCCCTGGCGTGCAGCGGGGAGAGCGCCGCTGACACGATTGCCTTGCATAAACCTTGAGAGGCACAGTGAGCGTGACCATGCTATGGGTTACGCCACGGCTCCAAGAAGCTGTAATTAGCACGCGACATCCTTGTTTGGCTGCACACCGCTGAGCCCGTGAAGTTGTCAATAATGTTGAAAAGTGCACAGTTTGGTCAAGGGGCAGATCACTCAAAATTGGGGCAACTTGTTAGTGCAGGGCAGCATCACATATGAGCTTGCAAGGGCTAAAGATTGTGCTCACAGGCTCTTGGGAATGCAGCCGCCTCTTTAATTGCATCCACCTACAGCTTTGCTTTGTGCCGCAGCGCTGCGCTCTAGTTGGGGCAACAACCTCGCAAGCACAGGCGAAGTGTAGAGGCATGTAATACTCAGCATGTCCCTCCATCACTTGCATTGGGCCAGTTCTGTGGACGGAGGAGGATGCCTTTGAACAAGGCCCGCGCGTGAGGACCCCTTCCCACCAGCTTCAGCTCGCCTGTACGGGGGTCCCAACATGAAACAGACGCAGCCCGCCACTCTCACTCTACAGGCGCCAGGTTCAGCCATCTCGTCAAAATTAGGTAGCAGGTTGCTTTAATAGACAACAAGCGGGCTTAACATCGTTGAAAACGCGCCTCACTTCGCACCCGCTGCACACAGCGGGGATGTAATGGAGCGGACGGCTGCGGGTCCCAGGAGCACAAATAACACGTTCACAAGACTCTTATATTTGCCGCGGAGGCTGTACAAATCGCTCATCTTTGCCTCAAGGTGCGGCCCAAAACCGGCCTGGGGGTACCTGCCGCTGCACAGCAGCAGTTTGCGCACATTGGTGCTGCGGTGCAGCGAAAAGGTTCCGCGCATGGATCCTGCGAAAAGACATCTGCCACATCCAATATCCAAGAGGCTGCGAAGCCACCACAGTCTACCTTGAGGCCGGCAGCAAGCCACCGCACAACCACCACCCCCGCCGTCATGTTTTCGCCGATGGACGCAGGCCAAACATCGCCAATCGCAAGACGCGCGGGCCCGAGTGGGCGCAGCTGCAGTCTCAATGGCGCTACGCGTGCGCGCTCACGTCCTACTGGGGGCCGCCGACCTTTGTCCTGTGGCGCATCAAATGGCCACTGCTGTTCAACTGCGCAGCCGCCCTGTTGATCACGCTCGACGCGTACCTCGGATGGGCTGGGATCGTCAATTCGTACTTCAGCGAAGGTGAGGGGCAGCAATTCTTTGGGTGTAGCGCTTATGGCAACGCATACCAACACACGAGCCGCCATGGCTGTCAGCTGGCCTGACACGGGCCAGTGCTCGTATTGGCGGGGCGCCGCAGCGCCTGCAACACACCTTGGTGCCCTCCGCCTCATGTTCCGCCGCTCTCGGTCACCCCAGATGTGCTGCTGATGTGGCGGATGACGTCCTTCATGGTGGCGCTGCTGTTGGCCTTTCGGGTCAATCGGGTGTACCTGCGTTGGTGTGCGGCGCTGCAGGCGTTTGGAGGAATCGGCACCGCCGCGGTCACGCTGGCGCAGCAGGCGGTGCTGTGGGTGCACGACCCACTGCTGCAGGTGCGCCCGGTTTGTCCCATGGCGCGCAAGCCTGCATCGTTGTGCATACCGGGGCTGGCGGTTTGATGCAGGGCACAAGGCTCGTGCATCATTCAGCGCGTTGGCCGTTTGAAGCAAGACCTTGCGATGTGTTCACAGCCATGTATGCGCTGGCTGCCAGGGCAGCGCTCCAAAGGGAACTGAAACATTGCACCACTTTCACCGGCCCGCCAACCTCCTCGTCCTTTGCTTGGGGCACCCGGTAAGCTTCCGCGCCATCAACCACATCCGTCCCGAACCCCTGCGGCTATCACAGGCGGAGCTTCTGGCATGGTGCGGTGTCTGGCAGTACAGCGTGCAGCACGTGTGCGCGCGTGCGCAGCGGCTGCACAAACGGGGGGCGGCGCTGCTGACAGAGGGGCAGCTAGCGTACTACCACTCACACCCCAAGCCGCGGCAGCTGGTGGTGCTGCAGCTGCGGCAGCTGATAACCCTGGCGCTGGACCCGGTCAGGGATTACGCGCTGGTGAGGCAATGGGGCCGCTGCAGTGGGCGGGGATGCGATGAGGGTGGCTGCATCATCCAGCGCCTGGGGTGGCATGCGTGGGTCGTTGCTTGGGGTACAGCGTCTAGTCCAGCCACGCGCTGGACGGGCATGAGCAGGAGGGGTGACATACATCAGGTCGTGCCATGCACGCGCACGCGTGTGTGTGTGTGTGTGTGTGTGTGTGTGTGTGTGTGTGTGTGTGTGTGTGCGCGCGCGCGCGAACGCACACGTGCGTGCATGTGGGACGTGCGGGCTCTGTTGGATGCGCCCCCAAGCACAGCAGGCACACTGGCCAATGCATCCGGCTCCCGTCGAGGCGCTACTGTCCTGGGTTTGCCTGCCCTTCCTGTGGCTACAGCGCCGTTGCGCTTTGCACGTCCCTTTCGCTCCTGCGCCCCAACTGCCCGCCGGCCGCCAGCCGCCCCCAACACCGCCCCTGAACCCTCGGCCCTGCCGCGTGCAGTTTCAGCAGATGAACGACACCTTGAATAAGGGCTCAGCGGACATGGGCACCTGCGGCCGCACGTTCTTCTACGCCATGCCCTGGGCCCTCTCGGCTATCTGCACCTGCTTCCTGCAGACCTGGCTGATCCTGATGCCGGCGGCGACATCAGTCAACAGCCACCCCGCGGCGGCGGCGGCGGCGGCGGCCGGGGCGGGGTCCGCGGCCGCGTACCGGCTGGCGCCAAAGCTGGCGGTGGACATGATGCTGTATTCGCTGGCGTGCGCGATGCTGCTGGGAGTGGACGAGGTGGCGGCGCAGCTGGAGCAGCCGTTCCCGTTCGTCCCTATGATTGACATGGCGGATGCCACCCTGAGAGCGGTGGAGAGGTGCGTGCGCTGCGGCGCAGGCCGGGGCCGGGGCCGGGAGGGTGCCGGCGGGCGAGGGACCGTGTGGCTGCACCGGGTTCGGGCCGTACGCGCGGGCGCGCGTGAAGCAGCAGCAAGGGCAGACTGTGCTGCAAGCGACGGCTGCGCTTGAAGTAGACGGTGTACAAGAAGCGCAGCGGCACGGAGCCCACCCACTGCTGTTCGAAAATATGGTCAGGCCCGCAGACAAACGAGGTTCTGGATGTTGGCGTTGCACTCCGCCCTAGCACTCAAATGGTGCTTGTGCCACCCTGTCTTTCATAAAGCAGCAGCAGGGCCGCCACCGCCATAAGCACAATCAGTAGCATCCCAACCACGATCACCAACCTCGCAGCCCACAACATCGCTGCCACAACCCTGCATCGCCAACACCTTACCCCTGCGCGACCACCTCTGCCCCTACAGGGCGCCCACTGAGACTAGGCGCATGGCTGATCTCATGCCTCAGCGCGCGGCTGACCCTGGGCCGGACGCGGCGGTCGCTGCTGCTGCTTTGCCTCTGCCTGCTACGCTGATTTCAGCCAGCAGCAAGGACGAGAGGCACCTGCAGCGCGTCTCGGTCTACGTTCACTCCTCATGAACAACACGTAGCAGACGCACCAGCCGCCAGCAAGTTTGCACGGTGTGGTGATGCGCGGCACTTCAGCATCAGTGCAGGGACGGCCTGCACAGGCGCGACGGGAGCCCAGCAGAAGAAGGCAGGGACAGATTAGGCAGGCGCTGTCATCGTGACACAACTCCTAGCATCATTTCTTCTATTGAGTCTGGGATGCATGCGATGACGCCTTGCTCTCATCCAATTCCCAGACTGACGGCCAACTTCCTTGCATGCAAAATATGAATCATGACAGCTGCAAGGGCGCGCAGTGCCGTGGTTGCGTGCCAGTTGGCAGCGCCAGAAGGCTTTCGCGCCGCTTGCTCCACCACCGACACCCCATTTCTTTGGAACGCGTGCGCCGCTTGCTTGCTGCCCTCGCCCCTCCTGTGGCAGCAGGCGGAGCGGGAGGAGTTGCTCTGAGCGTCCACAATTGAAGCTCTGCGTGGTTATGGCGCACGTGCTGCGTCCGTTCTCGTGGTTTTGCACATTTCATCGGCTACGGTCCAACAGCTTGCTTCTCGCCCATGTGTGACACGATGATGGGCCGCCACAATCTGTGAATTTGGTGGTGGCGCAAAAGCCCCTACAGAGTTGATCCTCCATGGAGATAAAAATTGAACACATACCCTTACATGTCATGTGTCATTGAGCCATTAGTGAACGATGCTTGCTGGTCGAGCCGCTCGCTCAATGAGCGGGCGTGCAAACGCAGCTGCTGACGGCTTGTGGTAACCTGCCGCGTTGTATGGCGACAATGTGTGTGCACGCAGCGGGTGCAGCAGGCCGCAACACTCCCCAGCGAGTGGTGAAGTAAATCAGTTATGTCTTTCGACATTCACACAGGCTGCCCTGACATGTTGCCACAATGCAGCACGCACCACGCACTGAGCCGCAGCCTGCCGAGCGCCAGCGCGCACTTTACGGTATGTCTCTGCACGTCGCACGAGCCATTTGCAATGATAGCACAAAAAAATGAAATAATATAAAATTCACACTCTTGTTTTCAGCAGCTTTGCCAGTGCAAGTGCAGGGCTGTGGCTCTGGCCAGTGACGCAGGAGATGACCACTAGGCCGCCAACTGCTTGTCTGGCCACATTGGGCTAGCGACGACAGCATCCTTGACGGCCCAGACGCGCCTCAGGCTCCATCAAGCCCATGCAAACCCGATTTCTTCGTCACAATTGGTTTATACGCAGCCATTCACCTTCCGCCCTTCGCAATTCGTGACCGGTCGAGCGCGCGTGCCCCAACGCTCGTCCTGTTGCCCGCTGCTGGGCTGTCTACGGATCTTTCTGTGATGTTGTTTTCAATCTAGCTGCTTTGAATCACATTTCATTCGTATCACCCGTTGTCACTGTCACCAGCCGCGCGGTAGTCCTGGCTCCGTCGCCCGTGTAGAGACAGCCTGCTTGGGCATATAAGCTGATATCACTCCAATCAGCACCACAGCGGGCCCTGGGAGACTGTCCCGGCATCCGCGCGCCTCGCGTACCGCGACGCTCGTCGACCGGCTCCGACTGAGCTGGGCAGTAACTTTACAATTGGAGGGGCATGGAGTCCCTCTGCTTGCCTCTGAGGGCGCTTGCAAGCACAGGCACGATGGCATGGGATGTCTGCCCCCCATCGGGGCCTGCGGCGCTGCAGGGCAGCCCGCCGAAACTGGACTTTGCGGACGACTTTGATTACTACACAATCCACTACAAGGTTGGCTAATGATTCGAGCCCGTTGCACACGTTATCAGCGGCTGCTGCCAGTGGTTGCGTCCCTGCACAGGGCGGATGCCGGGAGGCAGCCGCTGGCACTGCAACCCAACTCAACACACTGCAAGTCGGAGCTCAGACTGACCGTTAAATGGGACGCCTGGTGACTGCTGGATAGAGAGTCTGTCCCTGAAAATTGGCACATGCTCATTTTGTGCCTTGGGCTTTGGAATGCGACCCCAGGTGGACGCTTGCACTCTTCGAGTACCCCACGACTGGTGTGTTGGCATTAAGGGCTTGGGGTCGGAGGGATCTTAGCAACAGCTCTTCACCTGCTTGCCCAGGACACGACCAGGGCCGCACCTGCGGCAGATGCAGCGCAATTCGCCCACCAAGCAGCACTGCGCAGCACTGCGCCGACACGGCCCCTGCACCATGCGCCTGTCGCCGTGCGCCCCCCGCAGGGCGGCGTGCCCGTTTGCACACAAGCAGGGCGGCGAGCGCTCTGCGCGGCGCGACCTGCGTCGCTTCCCATACCTCAGCATACCGTGCGATTACGCTAAGCAGGTGGGGCCGCGTGTTCTCACGAGCCCAGGGGAAGCGAGGGGCAGCGATGCAATCAACACTCTCACCCCCGTTGCAACCAATGGCGTCAAACGCCCTTGACCCAACCCCTGGCGCCTTTACCGCTTACGTGCGCGCTGGCGCCGAGCTGTGCGTCATCAGGGGCGCCGGCTTGCTTATTTGCTGGCACGTGAACGCCACAACCGCCACTGACGTGCTCACCCTACCGCCTCTCCCGCAGAAGCGGCCGTGCCCCAAGGGTGATTACTGCCCCCACGCCCACTCTCTCTACGAGTACTGGTGAGGGCAGACGATCCCAAACTGCGCCATTTCCTGGTCGCCCAAGCCTATCAAGAGCTCGGCCGCGTGGTCGAATGGCTGCGCAGCAGCGCGCCGCCCGCCGCCTGCCTGCCAAAACCTAACGTCCTGCAGGCGCCAGAGCCTTTCTCATGAGTGTCTCTTCGTCCATCCATCTATCCAAACCCGCCCACCCACCCACCCGTTGTG